TACTATTTTTTGTTGAATGTTTCTTTTTACTTCTTTGTTGCTTGGTAGTATATAGACCTCTATTATTATTAATTCTATTTGCTTAAAGTATAGTGTAATTTCTATTATATACTCATTTATCTTCTTGATTATGTTTACATGTTTTGCTTATTGTTTTTCTATTAACACCTCTATATCTGATCTATTTTTCTTGTTTTTTGTTGCACTACTCCAATAACTGACATATATTTTTGTTATTTTGTGTAATAAAAATTTTCCTTCTCTTTCTGCAAGATTCATTTTAGTAATTCTCAGTATTGTAATTTCTTCTTCTTCTGCCTAGCTGAGCAAGTTTTCAAGTTTTCAACCTTTGGTTTTTAGTTCATTAATGTTGTAACATTCTATTTTTATCTTTTTTTTCTCTTCTTTTCACTTCTTTTTTAACTAGTTTTATAATACTTCTGTGTTAACTGCTCTTTCTTTTCCTTTTCTGCATTTCTTTTCTTTTAGATAAGAAGATAATATTCTTTTTTCAAATCTTTTCTTTTTCTTTGCAAAAATTTCTCAACTTCCTCATCTGTTCTTGTTAATTCAACTACAGCACTTTTAAAAGTGATTTGGTTGGGTCTTTTATACCTTTTCTCTAGCTATCTTCAATTTTTCTAGTCTTTTTAGTATTTGGTCTAATATGTTTTCCATATCAGATGTCTGCTCTTGTGTCTTTTTTATATTCTCACTTTCTTTTCTTGGCCTTTTTTTTTCTTGGTCTGTATTTGCTAAATTTTTTTTTCCATTTCTTTTGTTCTGATGGCTTTCATTTTCTTGTTTATTTCTTCTATTATTCAGTCTTGTGCTATATTTATTTTTCTTTATATACTCTTCTAAATCTGTATGCTCTTCTCCTGAGTCAAGATCTTCTATTTCTTCTTTCTTTTGTATCTTTTGTACCTTGTTGCTGCTTTTATAGAGTTGTTTATTTAATCTTTTTGGTTTAACTTCTCAGAACATTGAAACTTCGTTGTATTAGACTTTTTTTTTAGTAGTTATATTCATATCTTTCTGACTTTTAAATAACACTACTGTATAACTTCTTAGTCTTCTCTATCTGTTTGGTGGAATGTATACTATCATTGCCTTTCTAGTTTTGAGTTCTTGTAATAGAATTAGTTCAGAAATTCACTTTAGTATTCCTATCAATTTTGTTATAAATTAATTTCTTTCTTCTTTACCTATTGTCATTCTTGATAAGTTTCTGTTGCTTAAGAGGGATTACCTATAGTAATGCTTGTTTTTTTTTTCTCTTTACTTTATTATTGCTATTGTTCTGTATATGCTTTTTCAGATTTTATATTCTATTACTTTATCTATCTTTCTTACTAGGTACTTAATTTCATATTCTGTAATCTCCTTTATCAGGTTCTATACTGTTAATGCTACTGTGTTTTCTTTATTCTTTTTGTCTATGTCTTCTTTTTCTTGGTTGAATAAATTGTCTTTTGTTTTCTTAGCTTCTTCTTTATTCTTTTTTTTTCTGTTAGCTTATCTTTCTGCTATAACTTCTCATTCTTTTTAATCTTCTTTTCTTCTAATTCATTTATGTCTGAGATTATTCTAAACTAATCATTATGTTTTTTTTAAATTTTGTTGATTGCTTCTTCTCTGTCATATTTGCAGTCAAATGTAACAATAATCCAAGTATTACCTTTCTTAAACATTTCTTTAACTTTTTTAATATGTTTTTTAGATACTAGCAATCTTTTAATAAATTGTGTTCTTTCTTTTTGTAAACTATCTAGTAAATTGTATGCTAGTATTTTTGCTATATACATTCTTTTGTATTGCATTCTCTGTTCAAAGATAATCATATGCTTCATTCTAATAGTTCTTCTATAATATTATCTTTGTTTTTCTATTGTTCAGTTTCATAAATTCTATCTTTTTTATTTCTCTTGATTTCTTTTTGGTTTCTAATTGCTATAATGATGTCTTTATAGTCTTCTTGTATTACATCTGTCTTCAATATTCTTATTTCTTCTTCTATATAGTTGTCTATTTTTGTCTTTTCGATTATCATGCTTGTTGTTTCTGTATCTGTAGCTTTTTTGCTTTTCCTTCTTTTTTGTCTTTCTTTTTTTTTTAAACTTGTATTTTGTTGTAGCTCTTTTTCATTCATTATTATATCTACTGCTTCTGTCTTTTGTTTCATTTTCTCTATATATAATTCTAATATGTTGATTTCCTCTTTTGATATCATTTGAACTTTTTTACTTCTTATACTTTGCATTGCTAGTAGATGTTGACTTGTACAATTTATCTCTTTTGCCTATTTTTCTACACTTGTTAGGTCTCTCATGTCTACTTTAATTATTGCTTTGTATATTTTCCTTAGCATTACTGTTTCTATTAAATCTGTTTTCCATAATGCTAATTTTAGCATCATTGACTCTTCTGCCTTTGCTTATATCATTTGTAGCTGTGTTCTGTGCTACTTTGTTTACAATTATGTGCATTCTTTAATACTTATATGTTTATTCTGTCTATATTTGTATATGCCTGTTTGTTTGTCTTTTCACATGCTTATGTGTTCCAAACAGATCTGTGGTTTCAGATCTAAGCTATTTTTTCAAAATTTTTGCTTTTCAAGACTCATTTGGCAAGTTTGTATTTTCTTTACTTGCTTTTTGACTTGTTTTCTTCTACTGCTCTACTTGTTAGTTCTATTTCTGCAGTTTTTTCTTTTTTGTTAAGTCTTTGAGCACAGGTTTAACAGTAGTTTTTCTATTAGTCTTGATTTTTGTTTTTGCAGGTTTTGTATTTTGGTAATTAGTGAAAAGAGATGTTTTTAGATTTAAAAATATCATAAAACAAAATAACATTATTACTGAACCAACTCTTATCAAATAGCATATTCAACAACATTTTGATGACTGAACAGCTCTTAGAAACATCCAATTACAATTATTCAATACAATGTGGCAACAAAAATACTAAACTAAATCTAATATTAATCCTATATAATATCAAATAGCACTTAATAAATTCTTTTCAATAGAAGTTTTTAAAGTTATCAATCAACTCCCTAACAACAAAGCATGTAGGCTATTAGATATTAGCTATAAAATGCTTAAACATGCTAGAACACTATTTCTTGATACAATCACAGCTTTCTTTAATTACTGTTTTATATCTGAACAAATATCAAACCAATAGAAAGAAGAAAGAATTTTTTTTATTTTCAAAAAGCCTATTTTTGATAGCAATCTAACTAATACCAAACCTATTAGTTTGCTTGAAAATGTTAAAAAACTTTATACTAAACTTCTTACCAACTGACTTAACTATATTTTTATTCATCACAAAATTTTATCATCCTTTAACTATATACCTGGCAATAATATAGCTATTTCTATACATATTCTTAACAATGTTATTGAAGAAACTTTTTGTAATTTTAAACAACTTTGACTTCTATTTCAGAACATGAGCAAAGCTTATGACTCTGTAGATCTAACACTTTTTACTAAATCTTTACTATGTCTAAACATTCATCCAATCTTATTAACATTCTTACCAACTTGCTTACTAATCAACATAACTGAGTTATCACAAATTTAGGTATTTCTAACTCATACAATATTAAAAATAACATTGCTTAAGGAGAAACTATAACTCTTTTATTTTGAAGAATCTATTATAACCTTCTAATTAACAAAATAGTTACAGACTTCTCAAGATACACTTTAGCTACAAAGTAAAACACTAGTTTGCTTCAGCCAAAGTTTTAACAACTTCAAACTTCAGTATCTGTATTAGTATATATAGATAATACATTTTGGATAGCCAAATATAAAAAAGAATTACAACCAATTATTATTATAGCTATTTCTTTTTACTATAGATCTGGACACCTAAAGGTGGAAATCACATGACTTGTCCCATTTTCGCATTAAAATTCAAATATAAAAGAATCGCACAAAAAATGCATTTATGCATATCCAACGAATTGGTCACGTGATAATCAGCGTAGTCCACAAATTAAATTACAAATCAGTATTTGGTTAATCAGTTTTAGTGTTAGAATGAGAAAAAAATAAAACCAGATTCGAACTATACTACATGCAGGTACACTATCCAGGGATCGATACCAGTATTATAAATTCAATGAAGCACATATTATATTCAATAGCATGTGCACAAACTCTAGAATCATGTGCGCATTTTTTGTCTAAGCAAATTTAAAAATAGGCACAGAAAAAAATTATATGTGCTCTATATATTATAGAGCGCTAATTATTTTAATGTGCAAAATTTAAATCCATGTAGCTGCACCCACTGCACTGGTCCAATTTACATCACTGATCGATACCAAAAAACAGTTAATAAGTTGAAATTTTGACTATGAAATTACTTCTGCATTAACAAAAAAATTTGTATAAAATATGTCTTATTGTAATCTCTATCCTTATCCTGAAATAAAATATTATACTATTGTTTTGATTATTCAAAGATACCTAATAGATACATATTTGTCAATCTTTCTGGAGTAGCTGTACAAATAAAACCTATTGCATGATTTGGGCTATAAATAATTAATTTGGCTTACAAAGAAATTCCAGCTTAGAAAAAAATTTTTTTTTTTTTAAAACAAATTTTTTTTTTAATCGTGGGTTAATTAATGCTATTTATTCATATTGAATTAATCGCATATTATGAAGACATTAAACCCAACCAATCTTTTGATATCTAATCTAATCAAAAGAATTCACATGATTACATTTTCATATTTTGTAACCTTAAATTAAAATTCTTTACTGCAATTAATCAGCATTTTTATTTCTATTTGTCTACCCTTATGCTGTTTCTGAATGTCACATGTAGGATTACATCAAATGCCGTTTTACTAATAATCAATTGCATTAATTTTTATTTTAAAAAACTTCAAAAAAAAATAAAATAAAATAAAAATAAATAAATAAATTAGCGTAGTGCCTTAAAAAAAATATATATATACCTTAGTATATTTAAATGTTATTGCCACCATTTTCCTGTAAAAATAACGTTAATTCTTTTTGAGAAATTTGCCTATATGATTTAAATTTTTTGCATGCTTGTTCTGCTAATTTTCCTGTCAGTCCCTTATGGTATAACTCCATATATCTCCATGATTTTCTGGCAAATTTTCTAATCATAACGATATTTACTGAATCAAGCGCTTGTAGAACAGTATTTTGCAAGCCAACCTATGTGTAGTCACAGTGATTCCTTGTATACCTTTTAGCTGCACTCCAATACATTTCAATAAAGTTAAGTTCACAATGGAACTTTGGATAAAAAATGCAAATATGGCCAGCACCTTCAATTAATTTCACGATAGCAGACTTTTGAGCCAAAAAATCTGGTTGAGAAGCCATAATCCTCCTCAAGCAACAATTGATTTGTCCAGGATTTTCTTTTTTTTTGCACATTAAACATTCCAAATTTAATCCTTCTTTCTATAGACTTCTTTTCTCTAACACTCTTTTTATTCCTTTGGGTTTTCCTCTCAGATCAGGGTCAGAGTAATTCTTCTCAAATACCATTTCTTGTTCTATTAATTGTCTATTGCTATTAATAAAAGTTGTCGGTCACATTACACTTTGCTTTCCTCCAAGGCCTTTGTTCATTCTTTGCATCAAAAGGGCATCATCCGCAAATGCTAAATGATTCATACTATTATCGAAGCCAAAAACGGCCATTGCATTAGGGAATTTTGCTTTAAAAATAGGTATTGCCTTCTCCTTAATTTGTTTTAACAAATGTTCGACCATCTAATAATTTTCTTGATTTTTATCAGGTGTAAAGTAACAGCATGCTTCTGCAGGAATATTAGGATTTTTTTTTTCTTCTTCGCTTAATTGTAACCTTTCACACACTTCTAAAAGAAATTCGCTCACCATAATTGACTTTCCATTCCCTTTCTTACGCAATGGCATTTTTTCATCATGCATCCAAATTTCTTTTTTTCCATCATTTGCACAGAAACTACACTTATCATGAGTGACAAGAATCAGCTCTCGCTCACCTACTCCAAGTACAGGTGGAATCGGCTCCATAATACTTCCTTCATACCTCGCCATCCTTCTTTCTAAAGTCCTCATTTCCTCCAAAAACCTCTTCTAATATTCAACAACATCTTCTCTCTCATGTCCATCAAAGTATATACCCTTTTTGTATTTTTCAAATCTGTATCCTAAAATATTTAACCATCTTTTAGCTGTTCTTAAGCTAACTGATTTTCTAACCTCTTTTACATGCTCAGGTAAAATAGCACAGTCAATATATTGTTTGAATTGGAATGGGTTAATGCTATTGGTTCCTGAATGTTCTCTTATTCATTGATTATATTTTAATGTCATGTCTTCATCATCAATCAATCTTTTGCATTTTTGATGTTGACCATGATAGAAGACTGGAAAACATTCATGATGCAAATAAAATTCACCAAAAAAGTGAATTTTCTTGTATTTATATGGGTTTGGGGAAACATAAACTATGCTTGTCGCAATTTCACTCACTTTTATTTTTCCGTAACCATTATATAGCTGTACAAAATATTCATATACAACTTGCCATTCATTATATTCGAAAGCTGTGAATGTTTTTTCATTATTCAGGAGGTCTTCCTGAAGCTGAGCAATTATATTTCCAAGGGCAACAGATGCACCTTCACTATTATTTCCACCACTACCATCATCGCTATCCTCACTTATATCCTCATTGTTATCAAATCTGGTCACAGTTGGATATATTGGGGTTACTGAAGACAAAGACGCTGAATACATTGGGGTTACTGAAGATGCCAAAGATGCTAAATACATTGATGATGCCAATGTTGGAGACCCGAAAAAGCTAGTGATTTTAGAAGTTCCTCTGGTAGCATTGGCAAGAATACCGGAAGTGCTGAACTTATGATAATAAGTTGATTTCGGCATACCTTTAACTGTCCTTATTTCCAGTTTATTTTTCCATATGAGAGATGCGGCAAGTAGACGTATACGTGTCTTTTCTTTTTCATTTGTCCTTTCATCTTCTTTCTGACCATTATCATTTTCCAAATTTTGTTCAAAATCCTCCTGAATTTCCTCTTCTAAAATATACCTTTTCCCTCGCTTTTGCTGGGCTATTTTTTTTCTTTTATGGTTGTATTCATGAAGTCTGACGTATTTTTTTCTCTTTGCCATATTCTTTTTTTTTTTTTTTTTTTTTGTAGCCAGTTATTAATTGCAATATTAAAGTTCTAATAGTCTTTCAGTAACCATTCAGGTTTGATCACAGCTGTTTTTTGTCTCGTTTAGATTGGTTACAACTTATTTCGTCTTGGTCCAGGTTTATTTTTTTTATTCACACCATTTTGTCTTGTTCAAGTTGATTACAGCTTGGTTCAGGCTTTTTTTTTATTCACACCATCTCATCTCGTTGTTAGGGTTTGTTTACAGCATTATTTCGTCTCGTTGTTCAGGTTCGGCAAAATTATTTTGACTTGTTCAGGTCTTATTTGCGCCACTTCGTCGTCAGTTCCTTCCTGAGGTTAGTTAAACTTCCTATTCATGATCGCTTTTATATATTGCACCTTATCTTGCATACATCTGGATGATTATGATAACGAACTTTTTTTTTTTACAGCAATTAACAGAATCAAACCTTTTTTTTACAGCATGATGACTACATGTTGCATCTTATCTTGCATACATCTGGAATGATTATAAATTTTTTTTTACAGCTTGCATATATTATCGATAGTGTAACCAATAAAATAAAAGGTAATTAAAAACATGATCAGATATTAACCAATCAAATTCTGACTATAATTTGATTGGATAAAATTTGATCATGTTATTTGTCTCATTTTTGATCAATCATATGAAAATGCAACTTTTTTAAATTGATATATTTCAATTACAGGTAATTTTTTTTTAAAAAAAGGCTGCTATTTTGTAGCAAATTGATTTTGCTACCAAATAGCGGCTTTATTTTTTTTATATCTTGTTGGTATATTTTTAGATTATTTTTTAAAAATGTTTATTTTTATTTCTGTTTTTAGATGTCCTGCTTTGTATATAGCTGATATACAAATTAATCCAACTAAAGTAATTTTTATTTCAAACACTTCATTTACAGCTTCTATTTATTTCTTTAATTCATCACTTATATCTACTTCTGCCAACCAGCTATTTAAATTTTTAAAATGCTGGTTTACTCTTAATAACTCTCATACAAAACAAAGCCAATTAATTTATAATAAAGCAATTCTACTTATCAACATTATAGGCTTCAAAAGAATTACAAACAAACAAGCTATATATATTATCAATACTATAATTATTTCTATTATCAAATACAGATTACACAACATAATTCTTAAATGCTTCACCTGTAACAACATTCTATTCAAATACCTTACTATAATTATACATAAAATTAAACTTTCTCATACTAGTTCTAATAGCACTATACTAAACCCTTATATATATAATATATATAATATTTAGAACATCCAATTACAACATCATGTATTCTGCTTTCAACAAAGAATTAATAACCTAAAAACACTTGGCATCTCTACAAAAATTAGATTACAACAACTCCAAAACAACCTCTGGTCTGCTAATACAACCAACTACTTATTGATGGATCTAATAAACTTATACTTAATTTCAAAATTATACAACTTTTACAGCACTTGGCATTTTAATTTTAGCAAACTCTAATATTCTGTAGCCTAACACAATTTATAATAGTTGTCAAATATTAGAGTCTATACTTTTTTAGCACTCTAAATATAATACTTTTAAAAAACAACTTCAAAAAAACATACTCTATCTAGAACAACTATGTACTGCAGATCAGCTATCAAAAAGTTTGTCAAAAACTCTTTCTCGTAGATCATCAAAACAAACAAAATTAACAAAAACTTGGAAATAGTACTATAAGTTCCTTAT